CAGGAAAATTCATTTTTTGGCCAAAACGAAGAGTTATTATCCCTTTAAGTGAAATTTGTAAATACAAAGTTTGTAAAAAATGGGAGAAAGAGTCAGAGCAAACTACAGAAAAGTTTCCATTGAGTGCCTATTTTCAATGTTCTCAGTGTAAGACGATCCCAACCCAAGGGATTCTTATTTTTACATACATATACTCTATTCTAAACAAATTTGACATTTCTTGAAACCTGCGTCGCATGCGGGGAAGTGAAATAAAGCCCATAAAAAACATGCCACTCGTACAGCTCGACCGTGCAGACCGCAAATACGAAAAAAAAGAACATGACTAAGGAAATTGGTTTGTCTTTGGTACTGAAAGGTAAACTTCGTGATGTCTTGAAATCCGATCGCTTCACTGTATCATTGAACTTTAATAGGTAGGCACTTGCAGGGATTTTAACCAGTGCTATAGCTAGGAAATAGTTGGCCAAACGGAGCTAAATCAGTACTTAATGCGCATGCCTTTTGGTAATCAGGGTCCGAACAAAAAGGACATTGACCTATCGATATTTGGTTTTTGATTCACAAATTTTAAGAAGAAACCCGGCAACCGGCTGCACAAAGATTTTTTTCGTCGCACCTGTAGTCCACTTCTGTTGGCTGTTCTCTTAGTCGAATCGATGTCTGACCAATTTGTTCCTGATAATTGATCATTGAAAGACGACCTATGTTTGTCACTCATACTTCCATTGCTACCTCCGCCAAGGAGGTAATGTTTTTGGTTCCGTTAGTTTGTCTGTCTGTCTGTCTGTTAGCAAAATTACAGAAAAAGTTATGGACCGATTTTGACGAAATTTTCTAGAACTGTCAGAAGTGGGCCAAGGAACAGATGATTAGTTATTGGTGGTGATCCGGATCATTACTCAATCAATAATCAATAATCAAAAATAAAAAACTAAATCATTATAGAACGAAAATTTAGGGGTGAAACGGTATTGGATGGAGACTTTGCTGCCTTGGCGGAGGTCTGCGCTCTCGGAGTGCTGTTCTAGTAATTATTTTTTTTAAGGATTGAAAGTTTTAAGTATATAATACAACCCATTACGTATAGTTTAGAGAGTGAGAGCTACAGGCATATTGCCAAAGAAGATAACAGACCGAACCTCTTGACAGCAACACACTACGAGGCCCTCACATTGAGCAGGATACAGGTAATGCCCCTATTTCACACAGACCACGAATCCCACGAATCGCCAGGAATTCAGGATTCGTGAGGATTCGTGAGATTTTGCAACTTTTCTGCCCTAATTCGACACGCCCTACGATTCAGTTACGATACAGATGCGATAGTGTTACGAATATTCGTGGGATTCGGCTGGAATCGCACGAATATTGTCAAAAATTCACTACGATTTTTGGGGGAATCGGGAGTTCGTGGCCAAAATTTTGAACAGCTCAAAATTTTTGCCACGAATTCCCGATTGATCAAGAATTGCAAGAACTGACTACGAATATATACGAATCTGTTATGAACTTCACGAACTGATTACGATTCAACCACGAATCCTGAAATTTGTCAATTCCTGCCGATTCGTGGGATTCGTGATATGTGTGAAATAGGGGCATAAGACAGTAAAAATACCAGTAAAATTACATAAAGTGAATTGTTGATTAACAGTTAATCATTATTATAGAAACAAAGCGTGATTTTCTATCTACACGGCACAGAGTGTGTCCTTTTTCATGTGTACAGTGTTAACTCAACTAGACACCTGATAACCAATCTTCAGAAACCCATTTCTCTTCGGTTGCGTCATTATTCTCTTTCCAATAATGCAACATAAAGAACGCCCTCACCAAGTGGAGAAGTACTTGATCATCTACTGGATTTTTAGACCACAACTTTCCACAAATGACCACTCTTCGGTTTTTGCAGACAGTAGAAAAGGGAGACAATCAATTGCAAATGCCATGCAGTGGGCTTCAGCTAATTTCACTTGCTTCTGCCTAGTGGCGCTCTGGCTAACCGCACTGTGGTTCACAGAAGGGTGCGCTCGACAACACCTTTTCAGAAAAGCGGAACACTATCCAGGAAATTACTATGCGGTGAAAGAGTAGGTTTTGATAAATACCAAGTTTCTGACTTTGTAAAAGAAATGCCACAAGTTAGCATTGCATGGTCAATACTCTCTCTCTCTCTCTCTCGTTGTGTATTGTAAAATGTTAGATACATTAACTCGAATGCCTATAAAAGCTATGGAAAAACAAATGAACAATTTTAATAAGTCAAAAGCTGAAAACACAAGCCATTAAAAAGAATGGGGTAAGACAAACACGCCTCTTTGTACACTATATGAGAGGAAACAAAAAATGAATGTCTGGTGAAATAGAAAGATAGACCGCATTCAGACAGTGGACTAACTAGTCCACGGGTCAAATATGGCGACCCACTAAAAGACTTGCCGTCTAATCCGCTAATAGGCACTGAAGAATAGGTCAGCCATATTTGACCTTTGGACTAGTAAGTCCACTGTTCTGAATGCGGCCATACGGAGTGAAAATATGAGGCACGAAAATACTGGCAAATCCCATAAAATGGACACACCTAGCCACGCCTCCAGAGCTGCTGAGAGAAGTTGTTCATGTGTGAGAACAGAAAAAATATGTCTGTAACCAAATCCGCCTGAAATAAAGGCCATGGTCTGAGTGTCAGGTGTGCAATATTTCCCTTTATCCTGTGGTTTTGAAGCTTTCCTCTATTATACACATGATGCTAGAAATCGATGGTCTTCAGTAAAGGTTTTTGCACTATTCGTACTAAAATATTATACGGTGTGACGTTAAATGACAGACAGTTTTAGTTTTAACTAAACCTAGACCTAGGTCTTATTGTAGACGTGACTACTTTTAAAAACGTCCGCGTCAGTTGCAACTTGAACAAATATTTCAGATATGTAAGTTATAAACAAAAAGGTTTTAATGTAATGAATGGATGGATAAATGGAGGGAAGGATGGAGGGATGAATGCATGGCTGACCGACAAAGACAGACAGTCAGACAATGAAGTAATCTTCTGCATAAAAATCAGTCTTTATAGCAATTTTCATTTTTTTTCCCATAACATTGTTCTTTACACTAAAATCTATAAGTTCAGATATTTATTTTTATTCCAGGATGACTTTTTCGGTTAAAAATTTCTTTCAAAATTGCAATATGCATGCACATCTCTCATGCAACTGAACCCATTTTGCAACCCAGTGAAATTAGAATTTTGACTAGCTGAGTCATAGTTCTACACCATACCAAATAGCGCCGTTCGCCCTCTATGTGGTCGGTCGTACTTGGAACAGCTCACGTATTGTGAAAAGTGTTGTGTGTCTAAGCTACAGGAAGCAGCTGACATACAGAAAAAAGACCCAGCAGAATATCGTATAACTGGAGAGATTCACATAATAATAATAATAATAATAATAATAATAATAATAATAATTAATGGCGAAAAGTGTGCTACTGGAACAAACTCCACCCACCCTCAAGCACCTGTGGAACAGCTAACTGAAGCAACCCTTCAACAAGCCGCCCATGATGTTACAAATTTGACCAATACAGGAAAACGAAATAAATGGACACGGGAGGAGTATAAACAAGTTATGGAAGCATACATCATAGCTCAGCTCAAACCATCGAGTGTGAGCAATACCAAGCAGACATACATGATATGGAGTAACGCCAACCCCACATCTAGATCAAATATCGACGCAAACAAACTTGCAAATGTGAGACGAGACACTGTCAAGAACAAAAGACTTCACACACAGAGATTGAGAACATCAGGAGTAAGATAAGAGAAACTCTGACAGATACTGAAAACAACCAAGGAATAGAGCAACCACGTGTACCTGAAACAGCAGACATAGAAAATGAGATCGATGACAATAGGACTGAAGAAGCAGAAAATAGCAACAATGACGAACAAAGTGAAAGCTATTTAGAATTGAAGGAGAATGTGATGAGGAAGTGGGAAGAACTCAAATACCAGGAAATAAAAGACAGAGACTCCCTTAGTAAGATCAACAATGACAAAAAGACCAAGACCCTCATCAAACAAGCCAACAAAGCTTTGGAAGACATCAAAACAAGTCGTCAAGATGAAATGGATTTGACATCCATCAACCAATTGTGCTAAGCAGCAGCATCAGTTGAAGGAGATGGAGTGCAACATTCAAAGATGAAAGAGAAAATCAGAAAAGAGTACTATTGAAGAATCAAACTTGTCACAAAAAGGTAACTAAATTCAGCCAACAAAATTGAAGCAATCAACACCCTAGCTGTACCTGTGGTATCATATAGTTTCAACATTATCAACTGGCAACTGAAAGAGATCAAAACGCTGGACACAAAGACGAGAAAACTGCTTACAATGGAGAGAATACACCACCCAAAAGCTGACGTAGAACGACTATACCTTCCAAGAAAGATCGGTGGAAGAGGACTGTCTCAAATTGAAATGGCCTACAAAACAACAACAATAGGACTCAATGCCTACTTGGAGACAACTCAAGACGATCTGTTGAAACCGGCATGAGAGAGACAAGTAACTCTACTCCGTGTCACGGGAGGCTCAGAAGTTCATACAAGAATTAAATGTAACACCAACGACTATGAAAGCCCAGGAACAAGTCACAAACTTTGCAAAGAGAACCAAACAAGCAGCAAAGGAATGTGGTCTAAAGAAAATGACAGAAAAATGGGAAGAAAAACCGATGCATGGACAATACCCCAACAGAATCAAGAAAGCCGATGTGGAACAAGAAAAGACACATCAGTCGCTACAAGTGCTGGCTTGAAGGCTGAGACTGAAGGAATGATGATCGCTGCACAAGATCAGAGTCTAGCAACACGATCCTACCATCACCGCATCATTAACGATGGAACAGACCCTAAGTGTCGCATCTGTAATGAATTCGAGGAGACTATCGATCATATAGTCTCAGGCTGTCCGTCACTTGCAAGAACAGAATATGTCTAACGATACGACAAGGCGGCAAGCTATATCCACTGGAAAATATGCAAGCATCACCAACTCCCAGCAGCAGAAAAGTGGTATGATCATCAACCACAGACAGTGACAGCGAATGCAAACATCACAGTACTCTGGGACATGCCGGTGAACACAGACAGAGAAATTCTTGCAAATAGGCCAGACATCATCATCAAAAACAGACAAGAAAAGACATGCATCATGATTGACATGACAGTCCCATCTTATCCATCAAGGACAAGGAAGTAGAGAAGCTAAATATAAAGAGCTGGAAATTGGGGTGTCTAGAATGTGGGGTATGAAGACGACCACAGTACCTGTTGTAGTTGGAGCACTGGGCCTTATCAAGAAAGGACTGGATAGGCAGGTCCAGCAAATAACAGGAAGCCCAACTGTCCGAGAGCTGCAGAAAATAGTCTTGTTTGGTAGTGCGCATATTAAATTTGTATTGTACATTTAAATCTGTATTTCAAAAAGAAAATTATTTATTGTTGAATCTTCCGAAAGCGCGCTTAGCTGCTTTCGCCAGGCTCAGGTGCGGAAACCATAATCTTATGATTGAAAAAGGTAGACATGACAACATACGCGCGAACGAGAGGGTATGCACACTATGTAAGGATGAAATAGAAAACGAATATCACTTTTTGTTAACATGTGAGATGTACAAGGACTTAAGAACAAAATATATACCAAACAGGTACACCTGTCAACCAAATATCCAAAGGTTTAGACAGCTTATGTCTTCCAATGACAGAGATTTGATGATTAACCTGATTAATTATGTTTATTATGCCTTTAGAAAAAGGGAATCTTTTTTTGCAACGGATAGTGCACGTACTGTATATGAGCTCTCCGCATGCGCAATAGTTACGTTATATGAACCATTTACATTTGTAATCTGGGCAAATGCCTTTATACGAAAATAAAATTATTAAAATATCATCAGAAAGACGCTATCCATCTCATGAACACTAAAATCGCCTCAGGGTCATGGTATGACTCCGGCATCTTAGTAATTACCAAAGATCACAAGAATCATCACATAATAATAATAATAATAATAATAATAATAATTGTGCAAAATATATATATATCAAAGCCTAAAATCTAAAATAAATAATATTGCCAAACACTCGTATACCAGGAAATACTCAGTACAGGTAAAAGGGAACTCAATAGCGATTAAGATTAAATATTAGTGTTTCCTGAAGAGCAATCTACAACATTGGTCGAAAAGGTTGTCCCACCCCCATTACATGTACTCTTATTTACAAATGATCACCTCACAGCTGTAAATTGTTAGAAATAGTGCTTTTTATTACACATGCCGTGTCTAACATGATTAATTGTTAAAAAAATACAAAATAGTGGTGCAAATATACACATTTTATACCATTTAGTAAAATGTATAAGAGGTATCCCCTCAAATCCACTGTTTCACTGTGACTTCTACAGATGTAAAGAAATGTCTATTAAATTGAAAAGACGCCATCAAATGTCACCAAATTCACACACAATTAGCATTAGGATGTGCTCGTTAAAGGTCACGTGCCCAACAGCGTGTGCGTCTACCGCGTACTGCAATTATCTCCTGTAGACGGCGCGACAAGCCTTCAACACGCGTAACAATTCTGTTTTATTGGATATTGTCCCATTCTTCTTAAACAAGTTGGGGGAGTTGGTCCAGGTTTTTATGGGATGGGTACTCCTTTGCATTGCACACTCCAATTCATGTAACAGTTGATTAGTAAGTTAAATATCAGGGCTCAAAGATGGTGGTTCCATCCTTAGAGCATTGTATTTCTTAAAAAAAAAAACACTTGCCAGGCGAGAGGTGTGGGCAAGTGTGCAGTCATGATGAATCCTGGAGTTAACCCCAAAGTCAGTTCTTGAAGATGGAATGAGATATCAGCTGAGAATGCTACGTTCAGTGATCCCACAGGCACGTGAACCTGGCCACCCATCACTGGAAGGAAGTCGGTTTTGATGCAGAATCAAATTATTTCTTGTATCACATCGATCTTCAAATGAAGGTCCATAGACATGTTAAAAATGCCTTTTGGAAGGGTGTGTGTAGGATAATATCGCATTTGGAGAACATTCCAAGCCCATGGTATTAGTACATTGTTCCTTTCGGAACAAAACATAACAGGGACATCTTAATGTAACATTCTCAACAGAAATCTCACTCCATTTGCAAGAGGTGACTTCAGGGATGCTACTGGCTTCATTGTGACAACGCATTTGCTCACAGCTCTCGTCTGGCAAGCGATTTGTTGCTGAAACACAGGGCTCTGAGGATGGGACAACCGTCTTTGAGCCCTGATATTAATCCTACTTAGCACCTGTGGCATTAATTGGAGTGTGCATTGCAGAGGAGAACCAATTCCCAAAAAATCATTACCAATTCCGCCACGCTCTTTAGGATGATGAATGGGACAATATACCACATAAAAGAATTGTTACCCGTGTTGAAAGCTTGTCGCGCCGTCTACAGGAGATAATTGCAGTACGCACACTCTGTTAGGCACGTGATCTTTAACGAGCACGCCCTAATGCTAATTGTGTGTGAATTTGGTGACATTTTAGGCGTCTTTTTAATCTAATAGACATTTCTTTACATCTGTAGAAGTCACAGTGAAACAGTGGATTTGAGGGGGTACCTCTTATACATTTTACTAAATGGTAAAAAATGTGTATATTTGCACCACTATTTTGTATTTTTTTAAACCATTAATCATGTTAGACACGGTATCTGTAATAAAAAGCACTATTTCTAACAACTTACAGCTGTGAGATGATCATTTGTAAATAAAAGTACATGGAAATGGGGTGAGACAACCTTTTTGACCAATGTTTTATTTAAAAGTCCAAATTCAACAATTTCAAAATTAATCATAATATCTCTTCAAAAGGTAACTTTTTAAGATTTGCTTTGAATGCGGATTGTCAATACTATATCCCATACTAGTCAATACTATTACTGTCGACTGCAATGGCGCAATATCAAAAGAAGTATCTGCCAGTGTCGCTTATTATTGAAGACACAATTTTGCGTCTGTCAAGGATGTACAGCAAGATCTACTACAGCAATGCGTTATACAGAGGCTGCACCAGTACACCAATCACACTTACTCTCTCTCTCTCTCTGTCTCTCACACACACACACACACGCACACACACACACACACACACACACACAACGAAATACAGACACGCACAAACACACACACACACACACACATACGCACATGCACATTCCGCCGAATGAACGCTCATTGGCCCTTTCCACACAAAAAAAAAAAAAAAGACTGAAAGCACATCATGAATGACAACGATGAGAACTTAACATGTCTCGCGTTTATTTTACAGTCCACGGCTTATTATTTTCAGTTCAATTTAAACATTTCCTTTGGCTCCGGGATTACAGGAGAACATGTATTTGGCTTTGGGATGGTGTTAACCGTGTCAACCCTTTTTAACTCTGCCCCCAATACACACACACACACACACACACACATACACACACACACGAACACACTTCATTTATTTATTTACTTATCAATCTATCTTTTCATTTTTTTATGTGCAATGATTTATCCTTTTTATATAACATCCATTTTATTTATTTTTTGTTTCATTAGCAGTGGCGGATTCAGGGGGAGGTGTCATGGGGTCCTGACCCATCTTCGATTTCTAAAAAAATCATACCAATGGTCCCCTCTTGAATTTAGACTTTTGACCAGCTGAATCATACTGCTAAACAGTACTAAATGCCACCGTTCGCTCTCTAAAATACCAAAATTTTTCGGGGCCCTTCAGACGGCCCCCAATATCCTGCCAAGAGGGGGAGTGGGGTCAGCTTCAAATCCGCGGACCTCCCCCCCTTTCACATAATCCTGGACCCGCCCCTGAATAGATATATCATTTGAACCATATGGCCCAGTATTAATTACCCCCCCCCCCCCCCAACCTTGCGCCTATCCACCCTGGCCCCTATGCTCAGCTGAAATACCATACCAAATGAAGGAAAAAGTGTCCATAATAACAGTAAACAAGACCGTTTAGTGGGCATCTTTAGGAAATTAGATGAGCATTCGAGATTAAGCGTCAAAGCATCTTTATCAGATTTGCCTTGCGTCGTCAGCTTCCGATGCTTACAAAAATGTTTGCCTGTGTGATTTCCGATTATGAGGAGAGAGACACCTGTAAAACCTACGGAACATTTCTGTGTCTCTTTAATTTTAATCTACGTCTCCCATTGACAAGCACGATTAAGGAATCAATGGTATCATATCTTGAACGCCGGTAAGACAATCAAATAAATCGCGACTTAAATGCGAACTCTGTATTCGCTGAAGAGATTTATTTTCTAATGAAAAGGGTTTATTTTCAGGTTGAGATTAAGTAAATCGCTCTTAAGTCTGGCTTCATTTTAATTAAAATGCTCAGGGTCGAAACAACAGCTGGGTGAAAAGTGAATTTCAATTTAAGAATATGCCTGTCTTTTTACGGCTGAGGGGAGTTCGGCGGTGCGAGCGTATGGGGCGGAGGCTGCGGAAGATATTTTCAATTATTTTTCATCTTCATCCGGAAGGCTGTTAAACAGAAGATAAACAAAGGATTTAAATCAGCTCTTAGGAATCTGAGTCAGTAAAGAAAGAAATCCGCCGCTCAGCGCTCGAGTTCAAGCATCAGTGGATTCGCATCTGGTCCAAATATTACTCGGGTTAGACTGTCTCCAGTCAGGTGGAAAATCTTGCTTATTGGCGCAGAAACTCTCTGGATCTACCCACAGCATTAGCGAACAACCTGATAAGTTTTCGGCGACTGGCAGAAAAGTCTAACCTGTTCTTTTTTCGAGGCAGTTTTGGCGAAAAGGAACTGGTACAGCACCAACTGGGGAAAATGGACTGTTGAAGGATTTGCCGTATGAGATTTTCCACATCTTGTTATATCATTGCTGAAAATACTTCGTAATTGAAGACATTCTGGAAGATACAGGACTGATTTACTAGTAGGCATCCGGAAAACTACTGTGCTGACTAACAGGAAGAGACATTTGGTAACACACTAGATCTTCTACTTTCAAAAGTACCCCCAATCTGATGTGAATTAAGAAATGGTTAAGAAGGAGTGGAGCATTAAAAAGAAGTTACGGTTTCTGCATTAGAAGGCTGTTTTATTTTGTGATATGTTTCGATGCCAAGGAAATACACACAGGATGACGGCGTCAAGCTTTGTGTCAGTTAACAAATTGTCTCTCGTACTTGGGGCTGTCTTGATCTGCGCCATCTTTACGCTGGTTGTGCACATGGGTAAGTTTGACGTCAAAATGAAAGAATCATATTAATTAAATATCTTTTCCAAACTCAAGAGAAACGTACATGAAGACCTCTACATTAAGTCCCTTGCGCTCGGTTAACCGTTAACTTATAAGGTATTGAAGCATACGGTCTATGATTTAAGACCCCATTCCCAGAGATTAGATTGATCTACTTTAGATCGACCTAACTCCCTGGGGGTTCACGCTAAATAGCTGTCAGCCGAGCGGGCACGAAAGTTAATTACCCCCTTACAGCTTGTAGTAGGCGGGACGGACATTTAAGCCGGATTATCTGACAGTAATCTAGTGAGACTCCCCGTGGGGATAGATCGATCTAAAAGCTCTGGGAATACGCCCTTACATAGGCCCGAGGACTTGCTTCACAGTCTTGGGCTAAACACAGAGTGTTCTTGAAAATCGTATAGCCGACTACACAAACACGACTTACCGATGCGGGTTTTTGAGTTTTAAGAATAAACGGACCATAATAAATTTTAATTTGACGTACGTTAGGGTTGCAGTCATCACTGAGAGTAAAGACCTTTGTAAAGAGCACAGTTTGCTTTACTGGGGGCTTTTTTTATTTTGTTATTATTTATTTATTTATTTATTTATTTATTTATTTTTTTGTTAATCTCCGGATACAGTGTGCACCCACGCCATTTAATTATGTAGAGAAAACTAAACTGTTCTTCTTCTAAGTTTCATTCTAGGATGGATGGGAAATTCATAAAAACAAAGACCGCAAGGTGATGCACATGCCTTACATTACGCGTTTTAGTTTTTCCGCCCATGTAGCAATATTTTATTGAGGGGTTTTAGTGTACAAATTACCATATTTTCCTTAAAACGCACTTCTTTCGCTTGTTATGGGGTGTCTTCCAGACTTTCAGACTGAAATGAATACTGAAGTCACTTTTACGTTTGACCGCAGGTACTTATGGCTTGATTACCTCCTAAACTTGCTTCAGAGTGCAGCGCTCGTGGGTCAAATGTGAAAGATGTACAGAGCTAAGACACGTGGCAATTTCTACATTGCAGCGTGCCTGCGTCATTTTTTAGTTACGTTAAATAGGAGAAAATAGAAGGCCAAGTAACATCCATTCTAACAAAATGCTGTTAAAATTCTTTCTTGATTCATTTCTTGTTTTTTTACTTTGAATTTTTGTATAAGTGCCGTAAAGGAGAGGGGACAGCTAGAAGTTTTGTTATAGGACCGAAAATAAATTTCTGCGTTCCAGCGAGAAAAAAAGCGGGGGAAATATTGCAATGGTTAAGGGGATCGTTCATGGGTTTTACTGTCTTTAATCATAATATCTTCTTTACTAAGTCTATAATTTGTATAATATCTAGGTTTGTTATAGGCCTATACTTCGTTTCTTAGTGTTGAAATTACATTCCTGATTGAATAATACTAAAATAAACATTAAAGGAGAATTAAAATGTTTTCGAATGCAGGTCACCATTGAGTCGACTACATGTAGAGCAAATTCAACGCAAAGGCCTTTACCTAAACACATATGCGCAGAAAATCCACTGGTGAGTCAAAAACCATACAAAAACATTTTGTTTGTTTCTGAAATGATAATATATTGTATTTTTTCTATTTTGAAATCTTGCAGCCGCTGTGACGCAGTTAAACGTGCTACCTTCGGATTCACGGTGCCTTCAGGGTGTCATTGCGCAGAATTCCAGTGTGAAATACAGGGTGAGTGGCATTTGTTCATTTTGGGAATCTTCATTGGCATAACGTCTTCATCTTAGGGCCATCCATTTTTATCATCCTTCTCACAAGTTTTCAATAATGAGTGCGTAGACTTTTTCCAGATTCGCCCCCCCCCCCTTTCAGAGTACAATGATGGGGGGGGGGGGGTTAAATATCCTGAGTGAGGGATGAATCTTGACATTTTTGTCTTTATTCGCTTGAAAAATAAGATGGTATACTTAAAGTGATGTGTGCATGGAGTAGCTACACATCTAGGCTTTATTCGTCCCAAATGAACGCATGAAAGGGTCTTTGCCCCAGGTACTGAGCTATTAAATTCCCCCTATTTTAGGGGCATTAAGGCTTCGTTCACATGCAATGTCTATTTTCTAAATTCTATTTTCTATTCGCGGTATATCTTATGATCACGGTCTGTGCACTGAATATCCCGCGGCGTAATTACTGGCAGCGCGAGCCAGTTACTATAAGTTACTATAAGTAACTGGCTCGCGCTGCCAGTAATTACGCGGCGGGATATTCAGGGCACAGACCGTGATCATAAGATAGCGCGAATAGAAAATAGAATTTAGAAAATAGACATTGCATGTGAACGAAGCCTTAGTGTGGCTTCCACTGTTCTTCGATGCACATTAAAGCCGGAGCATTCAAAAGCATAGCACCAAGGTCTGACAGTGGCATTGCTGTCTTTACAAACGAAAAATATGTAAATTAAAATTCCCAAAAATATCAAGACTTCGCTTAGGATACATCGTTCAACCCTTTGTTCATGTATCAGGTTTTTTTATCAAACAGCCACACTGAAGAAGGGCGTATTTGCATGACCTAAAAACAACACAAACTCCGTTTTATCTTCTTGTAGCATATCGTGTAATTATATTGTTCTAACGCACTGGCCTAATTTTTTGTTCTTTGGAGGTAAAAAAGAACTTAATTTGAAATTTTCACTCATGCTCAGGCTGAACCGATAATAAATCAAGTGTTGACTTGGAGTTAAAGATGTAGCAAAAAAATACTTATATTTCTGATAAGTCCTTTAAACTGCCATTCTATTAATTTCATTCATTCACCCTCCCAACTGATTTTTATTCTTTCATTTTGTTAATCATTCATTCATTCATTCATTCGTCATTTAATTTATTTTCAAACAATTGACAAAGTATATTAACTTATTGTATAAAGTGTTCATTCTTTTTCTTTTACTTTTCTTAAAATCCATACGATAACTTCTTTGCAGGAATTAATTCCTAGTCAAAACAAAAATGTTCCACAGGAATGGCGGGAAAAGATGCGCAGACGCACTCAGCACGTTAGGAACACGTGCAAGAAGTATTATTTGCAACGAGACTTCAATGACAACATGATTGGCCAGTTTTATGTGGAAGATCGAAGCCGAATTGTCTTTTGCTCCATACCCAAAGTCGGTTGCAGTAATTGGAAGAGGCTAATCCTAGTACTGTCTGCTAATGTAAATAAAACTGATCTAAGAAGCTTGGATCAGTTTGAGCTCCACCATGGCAGCATACAATATCGACTGCAGCTCCTTTCCTCATTCACAAAATTCGGGGTTCGTTTTCGTTTAAAACATTACTTGAAGTTCATGTTTGTGCGCCACCCCTTGGAGAGGATATTGTCCGCTTATCGAGACAAACTGGAGACTGGTGATAACGTATATTACATGAGATCTGTTGGCAAGCAGATCGTGAAAAATTTCAAGGCGAACGCTTCCAAAGCGGAATTGGAAACAGGGTCCAATGTTACTTTTACAGAATTTTTGAAATTCATTCTTTCTGAGCATAGGAAAAACATTCAGCTCGATGTTCATTGGAGACCGTATATGGAGCTGGCTTACCCTTGTGCAATAGCGTATGACATCGTCGGAAAATACGAAACCATTGAAGAGGACGCCAATAACATTCTGCGTCTCATATCGGCAGATCACGTGGTCAGGTATCCGCCCTCCGAGCAGACGTCAAAAACTAGCGACCTAGCTAAGCGATACTACGAGAAAATTGATAAAAAGCTGTTGCAAGACGTGTGGGCCATATACGCAAGAGATGCTGAGTTGTTCGATTATAAGCTGGATAAATTTTTGTAAATTAGTTTATTTTCATTAATAAATGCGCATTGGCTATAGGCTGAATCAGTCCGTTACTTTTTAATACTTTTATTAAATTCCTAAGAATTATGTTTGGTTGAAAGGGTTGAACCGAATTTAAATAAAGAGAAATTTTGATTTCTACAACATTGGTCACAAGGGCTGTCCCACCCCCAATTCCATGTGCTTTTATTTACAAATGATCCACGTCACTGGAATTAGGGGTGGGACAACCTTTTTGACCATTGTTGTATGGTCAAAATCAACTTCTCCATTAAACGGTCCCCAACGGCTTTTGAAAAAAATGTGGAGTGGTTAAGGGGGACGGGGGCTTATATTCCATTAGCCTTTTCCTTTTTCCCCAGTTTGTATCAAAGTTTCACTCTCCTGGAACGATGAATAATAAAAAATAATTCATATTCTAACCACAAAAAGGAACATACGTTATTGTCACAAATGCAAAACGTCCATCTGTGGAAACGTTTTACTCACTTTGAAAATTCAACCATCACTGGTTTTGTTCTTTGATTTATCTCCTACGGTGTAAAGAATTATGATAATCTTTTGTAATTTTTTCTTTTTTTATGGATGACATCCTGGGGGGCGACTTTAGATTGCTTGTCACTAGATTTTATAAAAGGTCGTAAAATAAGCACTGAATAATATTACTTCAGAAATGTCAAACTATCATGGAATCACAATATATTTATCAGTCAGCAACAGAAAACACTATTTTATACATGCATTGTAGGCATATTTGGATAATTTAGAACATGCAATACCAAATTACCTATAGAAACTAATTCAATGCGAAATATACTAGAGAAAACAGGTTAAGTCTGCTATATAGCGAACAAGGTTTTGGAAACGTTTTTCACTGTTTATTTTCAATCTGCGCCATGAACTTTTACTGGACATTTGGGCCACCACTTTCGTTAAATCTACTGGTCCAAATCAGGATTCGCGTATCTGACTAAAAACTTCAATAATTGTAAATATTAGGAATAACAAGACCTTGGTTTTTATAAAGAATCATGTAACATTTACATTTCAGAAAAAAATTGGAAAACTGATATAAAAAATCCAATGGCCATATTGGGCCACTAACACTCACACATTCTGACAAAAATCTACGGGCGTAGGAACAATGGCTAATGTCGCAGATAGCTCAGATAATACCTTTGTGATAAACAATTACAGCGTCAAATATCTGCCAAGATACGTATTTTTAGCACCAGAGTGCTTTTAAATGCGATCGGTTTTTATATCTGATAACAAAATTTTACTTTGAACTTAAGGAAAATTAATTGTAGAGAAAGACTTGAACAGTTTATGTGTCAATCTGTATCTGAAAAAAATCCGCGCTCGGTCCTGGTTGCAATATGTAGTTAAAAGCTTCTTGGTTTATAATTTGTAGATAAATTCGCAAATTGTGATAGTTGAGATCTACCATTTCACTTAGATGCCTGATACATCGTTCGGGATGCTATGATACTTTTGAAAATCGCGAGTCTTATCACTTTTGATAAGTGAGATAGCATGGAATGTGTATTTGTGGTAATAAACAGCTTGTCTCCCCGCCACACGCTTACCACTTCTACTTTGAATGGCCTGTGACATTTCTTTTAAGAAAATGCTATTTGAAACCATGTGATGGCATATTATTTTCATATTATATATGATCTGTAAGTGGCAAAAACTTGACCTTGCATGTAACTTTTATCATTTTCACAAGTATATATATATATATAGTTCTTTGATGGTCGTTTTCTTCATTGTTGGATATACATTGGGGCCTAAACCGCCACTTTGTTTGAAAAGGAGAGAAAAAGACGCCCCCATCACGGAGCCACTGACTACAAACAAAATAACACAGGCTGGATTTGGTTTACGGTTTATTCCACCAATACTAACATGAAATGACAAATGAATGAAACGATCAGATGCCGGTCATGAATCCTTTAACTGAACAGAGTAATAAAAGCACCAACCCAGCAACTAAAAGGTCACAATTTTTTCAAAGAATGAAAATCTCTCGGACTTCTTCCCAAATGCTATTAAAATCCAGTGTTACAAACGAGTGTGGCAAAAGCACATTGTGTTTACTGATATAAAAATCTTCACGATAAATAGTACAACTGAAACTGCTAAATGGCTGTTCCAGGTAAAGTGAAATCTAAATTTGGTCAACAAAATGGCTACAAAGTATAATATATGAATACTCATCATAGTGTGCACTATATAGTGAAGAGGGCAACTTCTATTCAACAATAAATAAAGACATGTTCTACAATAGTATTGATAAACATAACATGAGGCCTGCAGTATCAAGGTATAATGTTAGTTGATGAACACTCAGTCCATGTTACACAAGATATAGTATTTTCAGAGGAAAAATTATCTCAAGGGATTTTTTAATGCTAGGTTGTTAAAGCTGTCATCAACTTTCAAGTTCTATTGCATCAATTTGTTTCATACATATTGAACACTGGTGATTCACAGTGTTGTTGTTGTTGTTTTTTAACCAGCACACTTATATAAAGACAACTTTTTCCAGTTCAATTTCACATCAAAACAGAACCCAAATTCATATCACAAGTTGGCAACTGTTGATAAAAATATTGTGAAATATTCTCAGTCTAATTCTAGAATTTTGTCCCAAATCAACTGGTAGGATTTCCATTTTAGTTGTCACATATATATATGATATTTTTTTACATATATTACGATTTGATTCCTTTATCTAGTCCTGTATCTTTATAATCACTGTCCATCCAATCCCGTCCTGTCCGTTTGAGTACACATATATACAAGAGATATAATACAAATCAAGTCATGTTGTGGTCATTGCCCTTTTCAAGCCCCGTACACACTTTCATCACTGTAGGCAATATACAAGAAGAAGTCCTCCTCATGGTGTTCCTGAAACAAAGATTGAGAGCCATTAAGATATGCAACTTAGCTGAAATAACAATGAAATTGGTGACCACACAATGTTCTCTGCTTTTTTTTAAAATAGTTTTTGTGAGTTTTTTTCTCTCTCTTTTTGATATGCTGGACAGTGAAACCTATTGCCACCCAAATATCCTTGATAAAATAATTCTTCTGCAGCAAGCAAAATAAGCTGAAAGGTGCTATTTCTATTTTTAGTTTATAAGTGATGGAAATCTATTTATCTCTGAATGACAAAATATTTCCAATCGCAGTGTTCTGGAATTTTGGGAGCATTTTATGAGTAATCATAATTTATAAATTCTGAAAGAGTGAAATCCCAAAATGTGCAGATTTTTATGTCTGTGAGCAATTACCACAATGTAAACCACAGTGTTGACTTTGCCCACCCTTACCTGGTATAAAGCGCCCATTGTTGCACTAGTGGGAGGAATCACATTGTTGACAAAGAAAAAGAGAGCATCTTCTGGTCTCAGGTGAATACGTTTTCTGATCAGGAAATAGAACTGACCCACGGTCAGATCAGAGGGAACCAAGTATTTCTTCTTGTCCAGGTCACCAACTCGGGCCTTGGGGGCCTTCTCTACTATGACCTAAATAAGAAGTACATGTTTATATAAGAAATCAAATCAAATAAGACAATCAACAATTATGGCCTTACTATGTACAAGTATTTTGAATGAAATACTACTTCTTGTAAAGCTTAACACTGTCAGTATTCTATTTCTTTATACAAGTTATACAAATACAATGTTCACTTTAATTGTACAGAAAAAAACTAAAGGTCATGGATACTTGCTGCTGGTGTGATCTTTCAAATTTCATCTGAACTAAGGACAACAACTTTA